GAGAGAGAGAGAGAGAGAGAGAGAGAGTTAATCACATTCCTATAAATTTTTCTAACTGCGGTCGAATGACAAATAGAGAGACTGAGAGATGCGATAAAACTATATCTTACTATAACTTATATTTAACGGGTGACCTTGTCTTCCAATTGATGGTTTATAAACATTTCTGAACAATTGATATTCTTCATCTTATAATCGTAATAAGTAAAATATTTTGTATATTACTAATCGTCATACAAAAATTAAATTCTATTAAATTAAACAAAATAATTAAACTTGAGAGTTATCAACAAGCAATATAAAATCTTTGGCATATTCTTAATACGAATTTATATACTCTTTAATACTCTTTATATTTAAGGTATGTGTAAATTTATGTATTTGGAAGAAAAAATATATTAACAAAAATAAAAAATATAATGTAATACTAAGCAATAAAAAAAAACTATTAAATATCTTAATCATTTACTACTTTTAATCTTGTTACTACTTGGATTGAAATTATCTGCCAAGAACCTAGATCCCATGCTTTTACTTCCGAAAACAGATGATTTACTTTGATCTGAGCTAATAAGACTTAAATTTGTAGAAAGTTGAGATTCAATCTCATTCCTATAAATTTTTCTAACAACAGTAGCCGAATATCATGACAAGTAGAAAAACTGAGATGAGATAAAACTGTGTGTACATGATTTAGAATTTGCAATTTGTTGGATTTTATGTTTTTCAATTGATGCTTTATAGCTTGTAATATGATTTCAACGTTTTTAAGCAATTGATATGCTTCATCTGAAACTTGAACAAGGGTCCCATTTGTGAATTCTGATGCCAAACTGGCCCTTGCATGCGGAACATCCTCTGAATGAAGAAGTTTTGAATAGCAATTGATACATTTTATACGTGGTTTCAATTTGTAGATTATATGTCCGCACATTTTATACAAAATGTCTTCTTGTTCTCTATTTATCTCTCTACAATCATTTAAATGTGGAAATATTATACATGATTCTCTCTCGATTAAAGATGAATTCGTGTTGTCTTTTTGCTTTTCTATAAATGAACGTATAAGATTCAAAGAATCATCGAAATTATAACTAGCACTATCTATTTTCTGATGACATCCTACTAAGCACAGCTGCTTTAATCTAAATTTAAAATCTCGTGTGGATGGTTTTGGCCTCTGAATTCGAATATTCGAAAATTCATTTTCGATACTATCTTGTAAAAATCTACCCATACATACAAACTGGAAGCCTTCAGTTACTAATAAATAATTTTGTAATTCTAAAGTAATTACACAACACATAATTGCATGAGTTTGAACAACTTTCCAGTCTTTTCCAAAGTTAGCATGTTTCATAATTGAACTAACAAGACGAATAACAGATACAGCCTTATTACAGGATTCCATATTGTAAAAACTAAGAGCATAAGTAAAGTTTCATGATATCATAATTTTAAACCACTGCCTAAGAAGCTGTACAAACCACGCCGTAGATTGCATCGAGGGATCATTTCTCAATTGACTTAAGTATAATAAAGCTCCTGCGGTATGAAGATGGATGATATTTGTAGCAGAAGAAACCTTCATTTTCGAAAAATGAGATGGCTTCAGATTTGATTTTTTTAAATGAGGGGCGAATTTCAGATCCATATTATGTTGATGATCTTCAAGCCACTCTATATATTCAAAATTTACAGTATTAGATGCAAGTTTTTCGATATGCACTATATCATCAGGGAGAAGCATTATCTTATTCTTCATAAACATTTCTTTTAAACTTTTGAAAACATGAATTAAATCAGGCATAGCATATAGCAACCTATTTGCATTAAAAGGATGTGCTCGTGAATAAATCATCAAATCCTTCTTGTGAGAAAATCCAAGGTGTGCCAATAATCCTCTATTTCCCATATCACAAACCAAAGCGAGAATTTTTAATCCAATTTGCTCGCATTTCTCTCTCTTTCTAATATTTTCATAATTACTTCCATAATGGCTTTATGAGCCGCTTTACCTGCTGTGAAATGATAGGCAACAACTTGTTTGTATCGTTTTCGGATGCCTGCAGCAAGAAAAACTAAAGCTTTTGATGCCAATTGCTTCGGTTCTCCAGGAAGTGATACATAACCGATATAAGCGCCAATGCTAGGATCTAGATCTATTCTTTGCTCAATACTCATTTCGTCGAAGACAAGAACACAATTTTTGTCGTTTTCATTCATATCACTTACAATTTCTTGCAAACGTAAAAAGACGTTATCCAAAAGTCCTGAATCAAATTTCACATGTTCTATACTTCTTTGTAACGTTCGCACAGAAGGAAGCGGTGCCATCATTTGTCGAAGATAATTATATCCTTTGGTTCCACAAGTAAATTGCAAGCTCAAACCTTTAAGAATAGTTTCTTCTGACCACTTAATGCCTCTAGAAGTGCCTGTTCTTAAAACTTGTAATTGATCATTAGCTAAAAAAGTTGATATTTCTCGCATGCGATTGTTCAAAATTTTAATTTGTTTTTTTAAATCAGTGTTTTCTCCAAAAACTTTTTTCAGTTCTTGCATCCAATAATTTGATTCTGATTCTTTGCCTTTCTTTTGCACTTCGTGTATATCATTTTTTTAACACTTTCTTTGCTTGTCTTTTTTTTCATTTTGAGATTTGTTTTTAGATACTGAAAGATCACTTTTCCTTGTTAACGTTTCCATTATATTCATGTTAATGTCATGCTGCAGACAGTTATCTGTAGAACCTTCTACATATATTTCATTTGTTGATGATGCAGCTAATGTTACAGTAGACATAATTTCCTTAACTTCATTAATTGATAATGAAGCTGTAAAAAATGGACAATTGGTTTCATGTTTTATAACGTACACTTGTTGGCTCTTGTTAAATTTTGCAATAATTTCAGTCGTACTATTTTCATTAATTATTTCAGAAGTATTTCTTGAGAGGTTGCTAAACTGCTTAAATGTATTAACTTGAGGATAATTTTGTTTAACTGAAGTCAAAACAGTTTGCATATAAATCTGCATACTTCTACTATTATGATGCTCACCAGAATTTTCGTCATTATAAATATGATTTTGCTTTTTAAATTTCAATGTCTGACTATAAGAATGTTTTAAGATATTTGGCGCAATTTGTTTTAAAGGAAGACGATTTTCTGAAAGCCTCTTGTTATACGAACACTCCATATATTATTATTTAAATTCTCTGAACTATCTAGTCTCGTTTTGACATTACGTACATAAACTTCGTCTTTCTTCCGCTTTCTTGCTTGCGACTTACAAAAATTCTCAGAGAGACAATGGCAAAAACGTGATGGAATCGCACCTTTTTTTATTTCTTTCCGGCAACCTACCACCAATACATCTGATGGCTCAAAGTGAACCTGAAATGAGGGAAGCATTAAATGGAGAAGCACTTTTTAAACTATTTTTATTCGGATCCTGCATAACATTCTTATGATGAATACTCACTTCACACAATCTCAAATTATTCAAGGATCTTGATGTCTCTCCAAAAACAGCGTCTACCCATGCTTTCTTATATTGATTTTCCTTGGGAAATCTAATTAATGCATATCCATCACTGGATTTATTAAAACATCTCGCTGCACAGCATATATTTGGCATCTTCAAAATCAATATAAAAATCCAATCTAAGACAAGAGAATCACATTATTAATGAAACAGGTATCTTTAACTTACGTACTACTTATTTTTAACTACGAAGCGTTTATTAATTCAAAGCTTATTTGTGACAATATATACATTACTTTTTCTCACAATTTTGCATAAATGTGATAAATTTACTTACCAAAAATAGTCAGAACCACACGCAACACAAGCTGCTTCAATTCACATGTGTATTCTAGCAGGTTATGGTACACATGTTCAAAAATGGGAAACACGTCATCCATACCCCAGCCAATCAGAATCACCCATAGTCACGTGATAAGTTGGCGAGTCTCTCTTTTAAGGGTCTCTAATTCTCATTCTCTCTCCTATTACATTGAATGGAAAGAGATAGAAATGGCCGTCTGCCACGGTCCCTCTCTCTCATCCCTATCGACTATTTTGACACACGGATCGCGCAGTCCATTCTCTATGTCTTTGGTGTCACAAAAGGAAAGCAGCTTTAGGGGCTCCGCACAATAAAAGGATCTCATTTGTGTAATAAATGATACAATGGTTGTGTGTTCGTAATCAATTCCATTTTTCCATGAAAAAATCTATCTACAAATTTAATCGAAACAAGAAAATCGAATTAAAAAATTGATTTTTTAAGTCAAAAAGATCGATTCTTCAAAAGATCGATCTGAATCGTGCAACCCTAAGTCCGGATCTACAATAGGTGTTTTAAGCCTTAAGTCGTAAGAAATTAACGAATTACGGTCGAATCCGAGGAAAATAAGCGACTGTGATTCGCCCATTTCTTATGGCTTAAAGTTAAAAATCCTATTGTAGATTCGGACTAAAGGTCATGGCACATAAAAAAAATTAAGACGTAAGGGCCCACACAAGCTTTTGCATAACGCATAATACATAGTGTATAATAGAATCAACCAATCGAAATTCTTCTTTTCCATGGAATGGGAGGAAAGGAAAGATTCTGATTAGTTGATTCGTTTATGCACTATGCATTATGCTTTATGCAAAAGTCTGTGTCGCGGCCTTAAGACTTAAGCAGTAAAGGCCATGGCACATAAAAAAAATTAAGACGTAATGCGGGGTCTACAATAGAAGTCGTAGCAGTCATAGGGTCTTAAGTCGTAGAAAATTGACCAATCATAGTCGATTATTCTTCTCATATTCTACTGTAATTGGTTAATTTTATACGATTTAAAACTCTACGACTGCTACGACTTCTATTGTAGATCCCGCTTAAGACTTAAGTAGTAACGAAATCAACATGTTGGATTTGCTATTGCTTACGTATGGTCCGAGGCGTCGTCTACAATACACGGAGTAAGAAGTAAGAGTAAGAAATTGACCAATCTCAGTCGAATGTGAGAAGAATAATCGACTGTGATTGGTCAATTTCTTACTCTTACTTCTTAGGCGATATTTCATGTGTCGTACGACAAGCTTTGTCGGGCGTACTGATTGGCTGCTAATGCGCATGCGGTCGTTCGTACGACAATATTTTGTCGTATGTATGTAATATATTTGTCGTCATTAAAAACTGTCGGTTCGACATAAATTGATATTCTAACCTATTTTGATCGCACTATAAGTGAATTGGAAAATCAGAAGAGTTCAAATATAAAAATTTAGAATATAAAAAAGAAGAATCAGAGATAATTGTCTCTATAGGTAGAAAGAAGGAGAGAAAGAGAGAGAGAGAGAGAGTAAGTGTATATTACATTAATTTCTTACATATACATTATAATTTTCTTATTATGCATTAAATCAGATTTGTTTGTTTATATTAGGTAAATAACAGTTGAACTTCAGTTTAAAATATTTTTATTTTCAACGAAAGTTGAAATGCCTCAAATAAATAATCTTTTGCTGCATGTAATAGCACAAGTCCAACTACGAAGATTGTTAATTGTAGCATTATTAATTTCTAAAAAAAGAAACTATAGGAAAAAGAGATTTTGGACATCACAATTTCTTAGTCAACGGAAGACTCATGGAGCTTATTACACAACGATTCCTACTCTATTAAGAAATGCAGATTTATTTTCAAATTATTGTAGAATGAGCAAAACACAATTTGAAGATTTACTTACATTAATTGGATCACAAATCACAAAGCAGACATTTATTCGAGAGCCAATATCACCTGACCAACGTCTGTTTCTCACACTAAGGTATGCAATTTTTATTACTAACTTATTAATACATAAATACAACAATATTGGGTGCTTTCCAGCAAGGGACACAGCCAGACACAGTGTAACGCAGTGAATCATACATCCTTATTGTTTGCTTATGTTAAACAAGGATGAAACGATTCACTGTGTTACACTGTGTCTGATTGTGTACTTGCTGGAAAGCACCTCTTGATAATAAGGACAGTTATTATACGTTACTTTATTATACACAATATTGATTTGACAATTTTTGATGGTATATTAGGTACTTAGCATCTGGAGATTCAATGATGTCATTAAAATATCAATACTATGTTGCTCAGTCAACAATAACAAACATAATTAAAGAAACTTGTAATGTATTATGGTCTATGTTAATGCCCATTGTCCTGAAAGTACCTACGCATGATACATGGAAACAAATCGCAAAAAAATTTGAATTAAATTGTCATTTCCCACATTGTATAGGTGCTGTAGATGGAAAACATGTAGTTATACAGGTAACATTTCTTTTTTTATTATTTATATTATTTATTTATCTATTTACGGAATATTTCTGTATTGAAAAACATTATTTTAGGCACCACCAAACTCCGGTTCTACTTTCTACAATTATAAGAGTTCACATAGTATTGTGTTAATGGCTGGTTGTGATAGCGATTATAAGTTTGTACTGGTTGATATCGGAGCGACAGGACGCCAAAGCGATGGAGGCATATGGTCAAGATCTATTATGGGTCAAGCATTTGCAGAAGATGAAACGGACATACCACCGCCAGATGAAGTTATTGAAGGAACTGTTTTGCCGTATGTCTTAGTAGCAGATGAAGCTTTTCAGCTAACCGATTATATGATGCGGCCATTTCCTGGAAAAGGAGGCTTAACGAAAGAAAAAGGAGTATTTAATTACCGACTTAGTAGAGCACGCAATAAGTCGGAATGCACGTTTGGAATTCTTACTGCGCAATGGAGAATATACAAACGACCTATTAACACATCGATAGAAATAGCAGAAAGCATAGTAAAAGCAACTATTGTTTTACACAATTTCCTGCGTCAAAATGATAACGATGATTTAACAGAATTTATTAATGTAGTGGATGTTCCAACATGTTCTGAAATAAGAACTACAGCATTTTCAAATATAGGCAATTTTGGCAGCAATACTCATACGCGTGAAGCATCCCGTGTTCGAAACATTTTTGTTAATTACTTCAATAATGAAGGTGCTCTTCCATAAAAAAATGTGCTATAAAGAAATTACGTATTAAGGTCTACAATGAATGCTTTCTATTTAATGACAAAAGTCGACATAAGTGTCATTCTATCTTCGTCACTCTCTAAATGTCAAGAAAGATAGAACAATGCTTGTGTCGATTTGTATATGTGTTGTCACCAAATGGAAAGTACCCAATAATAAGTTGTAAACACCCTGTTGCCAGTCACAATGCTTTACGACAGTCAACTAGAAGCATTACTAATTACTATTATTGACGTTGCTGATAGACGCTGTTGCAAAGCATTACGACTGGTGACCGTGTTTGTAACTTATTGTACATATATAAAAAACTGTTATAAGTAAAAATAAATTAAACTTTCAATTCACACTTTTTATTATAATACATTTAAGATACATACATATATATATCTTTTCTTCGTATAAAAATTTTACTTGTGATAAAATGTAATTATATAATAACAAAAGTTATTTTTGCACAAAAATCATATATATGACATTTAGTTTTTTAATGTTATTTGTAAGTTTTGCTAAAAAATAGTTCTACATTAGTCGCAAGTCGTTCGCAAGCTTGTTGCGACAGCCAATCTGAAACAATTTCAAAATTGTTTTAGATTGACTGTCGCAACATGCTTGTTATTGACTTGCGACTAATGTAGAATCAGCTTATTATGTATTAAAATAAAATTAACTTTGTTTACGCAGAGATCACATCTTGTTTTTTGTTATTTGCAAATTCTATGCTTAATATTAATACAATTAACGTACTAACGAAAGTATTAACATAAAATAAATGTTGTTCATACATTATTAATCACAGTTTGTATCTTTTGTACTCAAGTTCTATACTTAATATATATATTTGTAATTTAAAAAATATTTAAAAAAAATAATCATTGTGATAAATCTTTGTTTTTTTCTTCCTCTAATAAAAAACAGTCTTTATAATGTTAAATAACTTAACACTTACAACATACGTAGAATAAACACAACAAGACTCATAGTTTCTTATGTAACTGATCTTTTTTTTCTGAAACTAATTGTAATAATTGTAGCCCATAAGAAAATGCTTCATTACCTGGAAATTCACGTATACATTTTCTATTAATTTCATTATGTGACTAATATTATCTTGTAATGGTACAGGTGTGGGTACACATGCAGATACTGTAGCTTCTTGTCGCATTTGTTGCAACGACGATGCGTCTATTTTTACTGGTTCTTTCATAATGAGTGATACTTCATTATCCGATGTTCGTCGTTTCTTCATTACAACAGTATCTTCAGGTCCAGATATTTCACTTGACGCAGAATCGTTCTGTTTACTTAAATAATTGGTAGTAGTACTGAAACATATAAAGGAAAATGTAGTTACAAAACTAATAATGACTATTAATTTATTTACATGTTGCTTTAAACCTTAATAAAGAAAGAATAAAGAAATAAGAAAATATAAGGTACTATGTGTCTATATCAACAACTTATATTTTATTACTTATTTTCTTTTGAGATAAAAAATAAATTTAAATATATATATATATATCTGCATTTATTTTTTTAAAATATATAGTAAAAGTCAACTATAATGGTAACATATCAAGTAATAATTTCACACTCAACAATGTAACTGTAAACGTATGTTACCATTGTTCGAATATGAAATTATACATTTGTTATATTATCGTAATTGGTATTGATTGGGTATTCAATTGCGTAAATAATGAATGTACTAACCTACGTAAATCCTGTATATCGTGTAAGAATTCCATAAATTCATACCACTTCCACTTAATAACCTTACTTGCTGCTGAGCCACTCTTTTTCTTTATCATATCATTACGGATACGCATGTAGGAATCTTTGAGATATCGCCACTTTTTAGATGCAGCCTCTGGCGTTAGAATTCCTATAATAAAAATTAATAATACTCTTTTCCAAAAAACAGATTCATTATGATTAAAAAATATCATGTGTAACTATATAAAGGATTAAACTGAAACATTAAATATATATTGTTTACATACAAATATATTGTTTGAAACATTAAATTTTACCATTTAATTCCTTAGATACTTCTTGCCAGTGTTTTGCAATTACATCTCGAGATCTTGATGTAAGTGGTAATCTGTAATCCCATAATTCTCTTCTCTTTTTTACATTAGATATAAGAAGTTCTTCGATGTCTTCTGTAATACAGATATATTATAATTACATTTATATTTCATTATATATTACAATTTTTATATCAATTAAAGTTTTACAATTATCTACTTGAGGTTTTTATACACAAATTGCAACATTAATGTTCGTTTTGTATATTTATAATCACAGTTGAATAATAATTAGTTGAAAGAATTAAAAGTTAAACAATAAAGTTAAAATGTTAATAATGTTAAACTTAGTTTCATTAATTTTAAATGAGTTATTTTTAATTTTAACTAATTTTTAAAACATAAATTTTAACTTATTAACTATTTTTCTAAGTTAATTTAAAGAAAAAAATACATAAAATTTCTATATGAAAAGCAATATTTCTTAATTTATAAAAATTTAATTTACAAATTAATATTATATTGATTTAATGATCCATAACATTGTCTTGTTATCTGAAATTATCTAATTAATCATTTAGAATAATCTAATATTAAAAAGACATTCTAATTTTATATAAATAATAATTAAAAAGTTTCTTTTAACTAAATGTAATCTTAATGCAACTTTTAACAAAGTTTTTCCTTGCAACATTTAACATAATTGAAATAATGTTATAAACCATCAACTTCGATTTAATTTAATTTAAAGAGAAATATTAAATTACCAAATCCTATTTACAATATAAAAATATTACATATAAAATATTTGTTTACCATGTGGAAGTATTGTATGATGTGGTAAAATTGGCTCAAACACAAGGGTTCCATCTTTTGTAAAATCATATTATATTCGTTAAGTTTTATAAATGCAAATATTCAAATGAAAAATATATTTTTTTATATTAGTATTAATTACAGCATTATTTAATATTGTATTTAATAAAAGCAGACGTATGGTAGGCTCATATTAAAAGTATATTAAATAATATGTTTATATATAAATATTGAAATCAAATAAAACAGATTACTTACCAAGTTGTGGACATACGTAACCACTATCATCCACACTAATATTTGGGTAGTTACAAAAACATGAATGTTTATTTAATTCATCTTTTTGATTAATGATATTTTTGCATATCATACATTTGAGTGGAAAGTTCAACTGAAAAAAATTTATTACCTTTGTTATTAAAATACAATTCCAAAAAAATTGTTTATACATAATTATATATAATTATATACGTTTATGAATGTTTAGACACGTATATTTGGCTCGTAGCCCTTCTTATTATATATATATTTTAACTTTTTAATATTAAATATTCCATAGAAACAAAATAGTATACTTACTGCAGAGTCTTCAATGTTCATTATTTTTTCAGTAATTTTTACCGGCTTATGAGTGATGGATTATGTATTTTCTTTTGGAATATTCCCTCCGATTGAGGGAAAGTAGACGTCTTCTGGATGGATTATGTATAAACGTGTCTAGGTTATGATTGCAACGACTGTCGAAAAATGTTCGGTCTTGCCCATGGTATAAGGATAAAGCGGGGAGCACAGACTCTTGCATAACGCATAACACATGAGGCATAAGAAATTGAACCAACCAGAGTTCTCTATTATATGGAAGGGAAAGAAACGGAGAACTTC